GGCTGTTCGGTTCTGGGATGGCTGTCACCGTCAGACCTTTCTCTTACACTGAGCCAGAATCAAGCCTCTGTGTCCCTCGACTTTGGCCACTCTTCTGCCCTGTGTTCTCTCCTCTGCTTCAGTTGGCTCTGCAGTGCTGATGAGTCTCTCTTCTTCTCCACACCAGTATTCCCATCCCTCTGGCCAGTGCCCCCAACACACCACCCAGACCCTTTAATATGTCAGTTGCACCCTCCCAGCCACCCTCTTGTTTATTAAGAGCCTCTTCAAGGCAGTGTGTGCAGCCAGATTTGGTGGAGCACACCTATAGTCCTAGCACTCTGGGAGGCTGAAGCAGGAGGATCACAAGTTCAAGGCCAGCCTAGGCAGCTTAGTGACTTAGAAAGACTCTGTCTCAAAATAAAACATTGAAAAAGGACTGGGGAAATAGCCTCATATGAAGGCCTTTGATTCAATCCCTAGTAACCCCAAAAAGAATAAAAAGGTGCCGTGGACACCCTCACTTTGCCTTTGGAAGCATGAAATGGTTCAACCTTTTGTGGATTGAGAAAACGATGGAGATATAAAATGTGCACACCCTTTCGCCTGATGTTCATCCTCGGGAGTTAACGCCTCAGGTGTGAGAGGTGCTCGTGCAAGCACTCCTGGCAACCCAAGGCCCAGGTGGGCAGACAGTGCGGCACAGCGGTGAGCTAAGGGCCAGGCCTGGTTAAACAGATGTACAGGCAGCTGGGGTTCGGGGCCCCGCCTTTTGCTCTAGAGCGACTTTGCTCAAGGGGCCCAAGAGCTGTAAGGCACAGCAGACCGCAGAGCGACACATCCAGCGGGCGAGCTCTGAGCCCTGCTCACCATGAAGGCCCAGCTACGCAGGTACACGACTGCGAGGGTCTTTCGTATTCACAGCACATGCAGTTCGTCTTCCTGGCGGCCACCTGCACCTACATCTGGTGAGTCAAGCCAGCCTGAGGGACACACAGCCCAGCCTCCCTCTCCACCCAGCTACAGCCCCAAGTCCATGCCGTGTGCTCCAGGACCAGTGGCCTTGCTTCCTATTGAATGGATAGAACTGTAGCCTCTTAGGGGCTGGGGATTTAACTCAGTGCTTCTGCTGCCTGCCTCGAAAGCGCAAGGTCCTGTGTTTGATCACTGGTACCAAAAAAAAAAAAAAGAACTGTAGCCTCTTAAAGCTGAAATGTCAGGGCTCAGCCAGCCAGGAAAGGAGCCCCTCATTCAGGACTAGACCCTTGGGCTGCAGAAGTCACGTGGCTTGTCTGAGTCACCAACAGGGTCAAAAAGTAAGGTTGCAACATTAGAACCCCGCTCCCAAAGGGCAGGATACTGCAAGCTTTCTCTTTCGCTTTTCTGTCCTTGACCCAGCTCTGGAGAATTTTGATTCTGAAATTGTACGTTTGTTATGACACCAAGACAAGTTTTCTGAGGACGAGAGGCCCGGATTCTCTTAAGGCAGATGGATAACATGTGGCACATTCTAGAATGAATAGGAGAGCCCAGAATGGAGTTTCCCAAATGGATCAAACCGACTCAATGGTGTTCGGGGAGAATGCAGCAATAGCGACTCCACAGAGCATCACATGTTTTATGGAGATATTATGAAGCTAGGGTGGGACTTATGATTGAATGAGTATTACCATAGATGTATACAGAATTCCATTCACTAACTCTGCATCACACGTGTTGATTGGGTCCCTAATCTGGATCTCTAGTCCCGACATCTTTTGACAGTCTTTTTAAATGAATTCCAAAAATACTGAAATGTATTGTGAATAACGTAACACTCATGTACTAGCACGCAACTCAAAAACTACAACATTACTGCCGGGCAGAGTGGTGCACACATGTATCCCAGCACTCTGGGAGGCCAAGGCAGGAGGGCTATAAGTTTGAGCCTGCCTAAGCAACTTAGTAACTTAGCAAGACTCTATCTTAAAAATAAAAATAATAAAAAGGGGCCAGGGATTTAGTTCAGTGGCGCCATGCCTGCCTCGCAAGTACAAGATCCCGAGTTCGATCCCTGGTACCAAAAAATAAAAATAATTTTAAAAATAAATTAATTGAAAGGGCTCAAGATGTAGCTCAGTGCAAAAGCTCTGGGTTCAATCCCCAGTATTATCGATAGGAGAAGGCAGAGGACGAGGAAGAGAAAGAGGATGAAGAGAAAGACAAGGATGAGGAGGAGAAGAAATAATAAACATTACTAATCCAGTTTTGATCGCTGCAAGCCCATCCTTCATTCCATCCTTTCTTCTCCCCTTGTAAACATCATCCTGAATTCGATGTTTGTTGTTCCCTTGTTTTGATATCCTTACAGATATATGTCTAGGTCTGTAAATATATATTTTACCTTTCTCTATGGAGGTGAAATTCATATAACATAAAATCATTTTAAAGTGAACAATTCAGGAACATTCAGTACATTTGTAATGTTTATAACAACCACCTTTATCTAGTTCCAAAATATTTCCATCACCTTAAAAGGAAATCCCCTACTCATTAGCTGTTATTGCCCATTTCTCTCTGTCTCTGTGTATATCTCTATTCTGATACTTTGGATGAATGGGGCCTTCTGTGCCTGGCTTCTTTCACTTGGCAGACATATTTTCAAGGCGTATCCACATTTTAATTGTGTCAGTATTTCCTTGGTCTGGCTCAATAATACTACATTGTATGGATAGACCACACTTTTGTCTATCAGGTCATCTACTGATGAACATTAGGTTCTTTCCACATCTTGCCTATTATGAATAGCACTTCTGTGGACTTTTTTTGTACAAGTATTCATTTGGGTGTATAGTGCTGCTTTGGATTTCTTTAAACTTTCTGTCATACTGTAGCTGGCCTTGTTTGCATGACTTTGTATTCCTCCGTATTGATTAGTTTTAGTCAGCTCATTTCCAGTGCTGCGGAGCCCCCCACTGTCTCAATTCAACAATTGATCCAGGGTTCACGATATTTCCAGTTTTCCCTCTTACAAGCAATGCTGAGTACACATCCTTGTACACAACTTGTGTACAAGGGGCACATGGATGACAGATACAGGTAGGTCCCTAAACGTGTTAACTCTTTGGCCCTAAAGATGCTTTTCTCCAAATGTACTTGCTGTTGCCAAATAGCAGCTATCTGTGCAGGAGTCTCTCCAGGGCCAGCATCCTGACTGTACCGTGGAACAGTGACAAACATACGCTGGCATGTGGGTAACTGTCCAGACCTGACTGAAGCAGTCTCCGGGATGGGACTGGAGAGCTGCAATCCTTTTTTGTTTTGTTGTTGTTTCTTGAGACAAGGTCTCATTATGTTCAGGCTGACCTAGAACCCAGGCTGGGGTTGAACTCAAGGTGATCCTCCTGCCTCAGCCTTCCAAGTGCTGGGTCAGAGATGTGCACCATCACACCCAGTGAGAGCCGAAATTCCAAGAGCTCCCTGAGGGTTTTCTGCTCAACCAAGGTTGAGAACAGCTGGGACCACAGCTTGTCCGCTTGGCTTCCTGAGCTCCGCTCATCAAGGGCAGCCCTAGGCTTAGACTTCTTAGGTCCTGAGAATACCGTTTGGGGTGGGCAGAGAAGACGCTAAATAAACAGATGCTGAGTGTGTAAACAGAGCATTTAAAACAAACTGGTTATTCAGGGTAACGAGATAGTGTTATGGCTTGTGTGTAAATGTCCCCTCAAAGCCTCATGCAGATGAGGTGAGACTTTCTCTGTCAGAGGTGGCTGAATCTGGAATGTGTCATGCTGGGGTTAAGGGCCTGTGATTACTAAATCTCTATGTGTGAGTGATTGGTTTGGCACCGCCCCAATCCCGCAGTCTGAATAAAATAAAAGGGGCAGGAAAATGCTGTCAAACTTCCTTGTTCCCTTTGCTACCTTGTGTGTGCCATGTTGCTTCTCCTCTGCGACACCTGTTTGCCATCCCTGCCTTGGAGCCAGGTGAGTATGGACTGAAACCTCTATGAACTGTGAGCTAAATAAACCCCTTCCCCACTGACTTTGGGTGCTGGGTATTTTGTCTCAGCAACGAGAGAAAGGTAACTAACACAGATAGGAAAGACTGGAAAAATTGGGACAGAATCTACCATCTTTAATTATTAATTCTACGGTCTTCCTCCCCTGTAATAATTTTTAGGCACGGTCTTACGGAAGTATGAATAGCGTGTGTACTGACTGTAGGGCAGGAGCCTAGAGGTCGAGCCAGGTCAAGCAATGAACAGGGTTAAGAGGGCCAAAGCTGGCTAGCCATGGACCTCGGTTCTGCCGCCGTCTGTGTGACCCTGGGCCATTCGGTCATCCGCAGGCATGACGGTCCTAGTGACTGTCTCACTGTGGCCATGCAGAGTAAATGAGAGGCCTCTGAGAGAGCACTCGGCATTCACTGAGTGCTCAGGAAAAAGGAGCTGCTAGCATCGATATTGTTTATAGAGCAGGTGAGTGCTTCTGAAAAGCAGGTGGCTGACCCACCAGATTCTGGGAGACAGGAGAAAGTACCCATGTGTTCCTGAGCCCCAGGACAAAGCTGGCAGGCCGACTTGGAGTGAGACTTTATTATTAGAGAAACCGTTCTAAAATTGGGATGTTGCCAGGTGCTGTGCTGAATGCCTATAATCCCAGCACTCGGGAGGCTGAGGCAGGAGGATCACCTGGAGGTTGGGCCCAGCCTGGACTACATAGCAAGACCCTGTCTCAAAAAAAAAAAAAAAATCAGGGTGTACATTAGATGATACTAAAGCTAGGAAAAGGGACACCAGTTTTCCTGTACTAAGTGTGCATCACACAGCAGATACTATGCTAAGGAATTTGCATGCATATCTCATTTAATCCTCATAATCCCCTGAGGTAGGTACAGCTACTATTCCTTTTGTTCCTGTTTGGTGAAGGAAAGAGAGTCACAGAGAAGCACAGCAAGGATCTGGAAAGGAGGCGAACTTCAGAGCCTCACTGAGCCTCCGTTGAGAAAACCATCTATGTTTTTCTGTGTCTGCCCCTTAGCTTTGCACTGGTGAGTGATAAGATGTACCAGCGGAAGGAGCCCGTCATCAGCTCCGTGCACACCAAGGTGAAGGGGGTAGCGGAGGTGAGAGAGGAGGTGGCCGATGGAACGAAGAAGGCAGTGCAGAGGGTCTTTGACACTGCGGATTACACCTTACCTTTGCAGGTGAGCACCCGGCACTTCCCCCAGGCCTGAGCCTTGGTCACTGTCACCAGGGCTCCATCCCCTTTCCCTGGGACTCAGCTGGCTCACTCAGAAAAACACTGGCCCTGTTTAAAAAGCTCTGTGAAAATCCCAACTGAGAGCTGGGGATTTAGCTCAGTGATTTTGCTGCCTGCTGCACAAGGGCAAGGACCCAAGTTCGATCCCCAGTACAAAAAAAAAAATCCCAACTGAGAAAACCTAAAAACTGCAAAAGTGGGCCAGAGCTAGCAGTTCAAAGAAGAGGCCTCTTTGCTCAAGTCCTACAGGGCTTCCCAAAATAGCAGTGCGTCCTGGTGCGTTCCAACACAATTTGGTTCGCACACACTCACCGTGTGCACAGCTCATTAGAAGCAGGGTCACAGCGCCAGCGAGGTCGGCCTGGCCTTGAGAGGGCGGTGGACTCACCACCTGGACAGTGCCGGGCCTTGGGCATTATCTGTGGTCACCCCAGGTCCCTGGGACACACTTCCTGGTAAATTTATCCGTGAAAGAAGGGTGTAGGTGACAGAGAAGGTTCGGTCTCAGAGAACAGGCGTGGCTGCTCAGTTCACAAGCAGAGAAAATGAAAGCAGTCGCCAAAAAAGGAGAAATTAGAGTTGAGGATGTCAAGGAACAGGTGGAGGCGGGAGGGACAAAGGGGTCTGCAGCCAGGGGAGGCAGGAAGCCTGCGCAAACCCTCCGAGCTCAAGCTGCTGTCTGTTAATTTCGAACAGCGGGTGCCCTTTCATGAAGTCCTGAGAAATCTGGACAGCGCCCCAGGATGCAGCCCACACTCCGCCCGTGGCTGCCCAGGACTCCGGAGTTTCAATTGAATGCAATTTTATTGTGTCAGAAAAATGAAATGGCTGCTTTTGGGGCTGGGTTGGAAAAGGACCATGGAGTCCGTGCAACTGTTCCTTTGCTCGCCTCACCCCAGCAGGACGACGCACGCAGCTTTGATATTAAGCCCTCAGCGGATTGCACGTTGCCAACAGACCAGATTTCTAGATGCTTGAAAGAAAGAGTGGAAGGTTCGCCCCCAGGCACTTAGCGAGCTGTGTCATTATGATTAAGCAGCTCTGTTCTCGGCCTCCTGAGTTCCTTCTCCTCTCCTTTTTCTCTGCAGGGAAACTCTTTCTTCGTGATGACAAACTATCTCAGGACCGAAGGCCAAGAGCAGCGGCTGTGCCCCCAGGTGAGGCAGCGACCCGGGTGATGAGGGTTCCCTGGGAGGCCCAGGTCACAGGCGACGGAAAAGGGGACATCACTGCCTTTTCTGTGGGTCAGAGCTGGGCAGAAGGAGGATGGCTCTCCTTGCTTGTCCCCCTTGCCTCCGGCTGTAGCACTCAGGTCCTGCCCTTGCCCTCCTGGCTCCCTGGGCAGCCCGGGGCAATGCATAACTAGATGCAGGTTTCAATGGCACCCCAACACCTTCAGGCCAGCGTCCCCAGCCCCATTTCACGGTTAAAGCACTTCCCCAGAGTCATACAGTTGGCTTGGGGGAGGAGCCGGAAGAGCCGAGTGAATCTGGGCGACACCCAGGGGCCCGCCCCTAACACTGAGGCAGCCAGGCCCTCTGCCTGCCCTGCGGCAGGACCGGCCTCACTGTAGGCTCCTGCTCACCAGGCCCCTCTGGTGACAAGACCTTGTTTGCTACAGGTTCAGGGGCTCTGGGTAAAAGTGCTCTCCTTGTACAGTCTTTGTCACCTGTGACCAAATGTGGAACCAAGCTTACATTCCCTTGGTGCCTCACCTGGAAGGAGGCCTCATCTCCCCTTGAACTCACGGCTCCTCTCCCTCTGAACGCCCCTTCCTGGCAGCATCCTGCCGAATCCAGCTCAGGGTCCGGGCTCTCCTGCGTCCCTCACTCCAGGCGCCCCTGTGCCACCCCCACCCCCCCATGTACACAGAGACACTTTCCAAGTTACTAAGACTCACAGGGAACAGAGCTGGGACAGCCCGGAGGTGACAAGCCGAGGCTCGGAAGCCAGGCTGCTAACGACTCAAAACTTGCCATGCTTGATGACCTCGAGTAGGTGGCTTCATCTGCAAAAGGGGACACTAACACCAGCTCTGAGAATTGTTGAAAGACACGAGCAGATAGATGCCTATGATGTGTCCATCATGCAGTAAATATGGCCAAGCCTTAGTGGGACACTGAGACAGATATTCTCACCCTGGACCTGATGGGCTTTGAACAGCAGTATGCTGAGCTCAGCTGGGCAGTTCTGCTGCCAGTCTCACTCAGGTTCTCTCACGACACCTGTGTCACATGGCAGCAGGTGCCATTTGGAGGCTTGGTTGGTACATGGGGACAGCCAGGCATCTCTTCCCTCCTGGAACTTTCAAGTCTCTTCCTTCCTACGGGGTCTGTCCACATGCTGTCTCCAGACTTCCGAACTGGAGCACAGGGTCCCCAGGGCCCAATGGCAGGGGTTCCAGGCCTTCTGAAGGCTCAGGAGGGAGCTGGTTCTGGGACCCTTCGGCTGGGTCCGGTCTGCCCTGAGACATGGCACTGTCCAGAGTCGCGGGGGAAACGCTCTACCTCTCAACCAGGAGGGTCATCAAGAACTCATGGCTGGACCAGGGATTTAGCTCAGTGGTTTCGCCCCCTGCCTTGCAAGCGCAAGGACCCAAGTTCCATCCCGGTACCAAAAAAAAAAAAAAAAAAGAACTGGTGGCCACCCTTAGTCCAGGTGAAAATCACAAGAGAGAAGAATAAAGCAGGACTAATATTTTTCTTTAATTTTAGAAAAATGTCTTTTGGAGCACAAAATAGAGTTGGTTTGGTTTTTTTCCTACAAATTTCTTCCAACTGATAATGAAAACGTGACTGTCCATGAACCACAGTAAATGACCATTCATTCATTCATTCCATGTTTGTCAAGAATACTACTTGTACTGAGGATTTAGCTCAGTGGTTCCACTGCCTGCCTCGCAGGTGCAAGGTTCCGGGTTCGATCCCTGGTACCCCCCAAAAAAAGAATACTACTTGTATGTAACCAGTCATGGTGGTGCACACCTGTGATCCCAGCACTCAGGAGGCTGAGGCAGGAGAATCCCATGAGTTCTAAGCCAAACTAGGCTACATCGTGAGTTCAAGGTCAGCCTGAACTACATAGTGAGACCCTGTCTCAAACAACAAAACAAAACAAGAATACTACTTGTATGTGTCTGGCAGGCAGTTGGGCTACAAAGATATGACCCAGGCCTTGTGGTCAAAGGATTCATAGTCTCATTTGCGGGGTCATAAGGAGAGGGATTCTGAGGCCTGCTGGGTGACAGGAAGAAGGCAATCTGGGAAGAAAAAAGAACAGGAGTTTGCGATCAGGAGAAGCATAATCTGTCTTGCTTTCACAGATAAGGACACTGAGGCTTAGAGAGGTGAAGCGACTCAGCTGAAGCCACTTAGCTAGAAAGGTAGCTGCTGTCCTGAAACCCAGGTGTGCCCGGCTGCAAGCCCCGGTCCTTGCCCTGAACGTCTGCCCAAGCCTGGGGACAGTGGCTTCTCCACGCCCACGTCACCACCTCGCTCCTCAATATGCAGAGACCGAGCCATCTCCTTTGTCTTCCCTCACTGTGTCCCAAAGCCCCGCAAGGACGCTGGCCTCATCCTCCCAGGCTGGGAAAAAGCGCTAGCTGGTGTCCCTCAGTTTATGTCCCTGGCACCTTCTGTCCCACCCCATCCTGCCCCCACAGGGCCCTGACCACGGCTCCTAGCTGTTTACATTTTTATTTCTTACCAAGACATAATTCACATACCATAAAACTGTCTCTCTAAAGTATACGGTGCAGAGATGTTTAGTCTCTCTGTACGTTGCCACTGTTGCCACTCTCGAACTCCAGAACATTTCCATGGTCGCTGAAAGAACTCTTGTCAAATCTGTTGTCCATCTCTGCTCCTCCCCAGCCCCTGACAACCACCAGCCTCTTTCTGTCCCACCGCTGTGCCTTTGGGGACATTTCCTAGGAACACAGTCACACAGGAAGTGGGTTTTTGTGACTGGATTCTTTCACCCAGTGTGGTGTTTCCAAGATTCAGCCATGCTGTATTTGTCCACTCGTCAGCAGTGGACACTTGGTCCATTTCCACTTTTGGTTGGCCGTGAGTAGTTGGTGTACAGCTCTCGCTGTGTGGACGTGGACATCAGTGTCCCCAAGTCCCGGTGACGTTCTTGCTCACTCCCGCTGCCCTGTCCTTCTCCACAGTACCCCACACCCAGGACACTCTGCTCCTCGGACCGGGGCTGTAAGAAGGGATGGATGGACCCACAAAGCAAAGGTACCGCTGTTTCTGTCCCTGAGGCCGCGGAGGCTGGTCTGGCATCTTGGTGACATTCAGTGTCTGCTTCAGGTCTTGGCCTCTGGCTCTCAGCTTCCTTCTTCCACCACCACCACACCTCAGGGGAGCCTGTGTCTGTCCCATGCCCTGGGCATGGTCCCGGGCAGACCAGCCATGCCCTTGAATGTGACCCCAAGGTTCCAGTGAGAGAAGTTCCTCCAACCCAGGCATGGTTAGGTCAAACTGGTAGAAAATCACATGGCCCACTGCATCTTCTGAGGTTTCTAAATTTCTGCTAAATTTCCCCAAAGCTGGAGGAGCATGACCTTGAACCCCCAGGAAGCCTGGGGACAGAATCCATATTAACCTGAAGAACAACCTCGTTTCATTTTCTAACTTAAAAAGATACAGGACAGTGCCAGGGGTGTAGCTCTCAGCAGCAGAGCTCTTGCCTAGCCTGTGTGAGGACCTGGGTTCACTTGGCAGCATTGAGGGGGGAAAAAAGCACATGAGAAAAAAAAACAAAACCACAAGAATATTCCCGGGCATGGTGGTGCACACCTGTAATCCCAGCACTTGGAGGCTGAGGCAGGAGGATCGCTACAAGTTCAAGGTCAGCCTGAGCTATATAATGAGTTCAAGGTCAGCCTAAAATATGTAGTGAGACCCTGTCTTAAAAACAAAACAAACATTACAAAACAATCAGTGGTTATAATGTACACATACAATGTATGAATATTGCATGGCATAGGATAAAATAAAATAAAATTTAATTTTAAAATATTGCATTCTATTCCATAATATGTATATATTGAGTTGGCATAGAGCTTGTGTTAACATGGGTCGCCATTTAATCAAATCTTCCTCATTCTGACATCATGGAATGATCCCCCAGGATCATTCCATGGCTTTCCCTGGATGGGCTGTAACCCTGGAGAGACTGAGCTGCCCATTTGAGAAGTCAAGTTCTGGTCCACGTGTACCAAGTGAGAGGAGTCAGTCTGCTCCCTCTCAGGATCTTCCCTTGTTAAAAAAAAAAAAAAAAAGCCAAAAGGACCAACTGAATCCAGTACCCTCCTCTCTCCCTCTCTCTCTCTCTCATCCCTTTTTATTTATTTATTTATTTATTTGGTACCGGAGATCAAACTCTGGACCTTGCACTTGCAAGGCAGGCAGCGGAACCACTGAACTAAATCCCCGGCCCTATCATCCCTTTTTAAAAGCTTACTTTTGCCAAATGTAGTGATACATGCCTGTAATCTCAGCTACTTGGGAGGCTGAGGCAGGAGGATTACAAGTTAAGGCCAGCCCGGGCAACATCCTGTGATCCTGTCTCAAGAACATGGAAAAGGGGCTGAAGATGTTGTCCCGTGGTAGGCCTGTAGCATGTGTGAGGCCCTGGGTTCTAGCTCCAGTACTACACACACAAAATAGATAAAGGCGTCCTGTTTTTGTCTGCTTTGTCTGGAGTGTGTTAGTGAAAAGGATGGGGTCCCAGGAACTACAGCTGCTCGGGTGGGGTCCACGGTGGTCTCTGGGGAATTTCCTCCCCATGGTCCACTCACATCCGGTTCTGTGACCCCGGACCCCATAGGAATCCAGACCGGCAGGTGTGTTGTGTACAGCGGGACCAAAAAGACCTGCGAAGTCTCTGCCTGGTGTCCCATCGAGGCCATGGAAGAGGCCCCCCGGTGAGCTGCCTGGGTGGGAAGAGGGACAGACACGGGGCCTCAGCAGTGACCAGAGTCCTGACTCTTCTTGGCTTGGGGAACCCTGTGCCAGGCACCGTGCTCAGCACACCCTGTGTCCCCTGAGCCGTGCTAGCTGTTAACGTGTTAAGATAGTGCCCAGCACCTTCCCGGGCACTCCCAGACCCTTCCTGTGGTGCTGCAGCAGAGTGCTGTGACCAACCAGTGCCACCCTGAGTGACTAAGGGCAGGGAGGAGGGACGGGGGTGGGGTGGGGGAGAAATGGAAAGGAAGAGGGAGAAAGGGAAGAGGGAGCGGAGCGGGGGAAAAGGGAGTGGAGCAGAGAACAGGAAGTTTTCTCAAATGCCTGCAGGACGTACAGGTTGGGGCTCCTGTACTCATTTTCCTCTTTAACACACAGTCAGGAACTCAGATCTCAGAAAGCACAGGGCCAATGCATTTCAGCAGGGAAGAGTTGGAAAGACCTGGATTCAAATCCTGCCTCTAACAAATCAGTTTGTGTGACCTTGGAAAGCTTATCCTCTGAGGGGCAGTCGCATCTGGAAAATGGGGATGTTAACTGTACCTACCTCGTGGGGCTGTTTAAATGAGATGAACTTGGTCAGGTGTTGTAAAGTGAGACACAGGGCTGGCTTACAGACACACACACACACACACACACACAATCTGCCCCTAGAATGTGATAAGTGGTTCTAGGCCAGCACTGTTCAATAGAACTTTCTGCAATCATGGGGATGTTCTGTACTCACACTGTCCAAAAAAATATGACCACTACATGTGGTTACTGAGTACTTGAAATGTGGCCACTGCAACTGAGCAGCTGGATCAAGCCTTGCCTGAAGCCAGAAACGCTGGATGCCTCATTTACTGGAGGGAAAAATATAAGTCAGAGTGCTGGAGATATAATTCAGTGGTAGAGCATGCCTAGCAGGCCATGTGTTCAATCCCCAATACCTCCCCAAATCTAAAGCCAGTTTAAGTTGAATTTCTGTTATTAAGAAAAAAAGTCTTAATTAAATTTAAATTGAAATAGCCATACGTGCCTAGTGGCTGCCTACAGCAGAGTGACTCAGCCCTGCTCCCTCTGTGGGTGAGCAACAGAGGATGAGCCTTCCTGTCCCATGCTGGCGGGTAGGGGGCCGGGCCAATGTCTAGGCCAGTGTCATCCTGCCTGGCCCTCAATTCTCAGCCCAGATTCATTTCTAGGTCACAGAAGTTTCTGGCACAAAAGGATCGGACGCTATGGGTGGGATGTCAGCCTACTCCCGAGTAGTTCTTGGTTCAAAACAAAGGATCCCTTGATGGACTCTGGCTTTCGGTTCTGCTCTGCTACCAACTTTGTCCATGAGATAAATGTCATGCAGCTCCCAGTGCCTGGCCCCGGGCTGCACAGTGACCTGACCTGGGCCTGCAACCCCTGAATGTCAGTTTCCTCATCTGTATGAATGAGCCAAGATGATTCACTTGCTCATTCAACAAATCCACCACTATGTAGCAGGCATTAGATATTTAAAGCAAATGTGACCTCTCATGTAAAATGTAACAGTCCCGGACGTGTAGCATGCTCATCCCTTCCCAGCTTCAGATGTCCCCTGGGCAATGGGAAACCAGCCACGGCCCCGCAATAATCAGCAAACATTGTATATTGTTAGGTCCTTTCTCCCCTAGAGACCTGGCTGTTAAACATTTATCAACAAAACACTGCACATATCTAAATAAACAGTTACATCAGAGAGTAAAAGGTGACACTATAAATGTCATGGAGCCTCAAGAAGGGAAAAATTCTGACACATGCTTACAATGCCAGCGCTCTGGGAGGCTGAGCAGGAAGATCACAAGTTCGAGTCTAGCCTAGACAACTTAATGACTTAGCAAAACTGTGCCTTACAGTAAAAAAAAAATGAAGAAGGAATTGGAGATGTAGTTCAGTGTGAAGGCCCTGGGCTCAGACCCTAGTACGGAGACAGAGAGAGGGAGAGATTGTTAGAGAAGCTCAAGGCTTTATGGAGATTTTTTTTTTTTTGGTACCAGGGATCAAACTCGGGACCTTGCGCTTGCGTGGCAGGCACCAGAACCACTGAGCTAAATCCCCGGCCTTATGGAGAATTTTTGAAGGTTTTGTCCACTAAGTGGCTCTATCCATTTCTCTTCATGGATCCTAAAGACTAAAGCACAAAGCTACAGAACTAGAAGCCTCTGGCCCCGTTGGTCCACTGACCCCTCTAGGTCCCTGAAGTTGCTGATCCCTAACCCTCTCCCCAGGCCTGCACTCCTGAGCAGCGCTGAAAACTTCACTGTGCTCATCAAGAACAACATCGACTTCCCTGGCCACAACTACACCACGTAAGTGCCCAAAATGCCTGGCTGTATCAGTCAGTTACCTATGCTGTGTAACAAATGATCCCAAACCTATGGAGCCCAAAACTACAAACACTTCTTGTCACCATGATTTCTGTGGTTCAGGAACCTGGGAATGTCTTTGCTGGGTGGTTCTGACTCGGTCTTTCGGGTGGTAGTCAAGCTGTCCACTGGGCCTGCAGTCACTCCCACACTTGATGGGGTAGGGAATTTGCCTCCAGGCTCTCCCATGTGGTGCAGGAAGGTGGCTGAGTATGCTTAGGACATGGTGGCTGGCTTCCCTAGAGCAAGGGGCCAATACAGGATGACAGTAACCAAGATGGAAGCCACGGTCTTGGCAAGTGATGCCCCATCATTCCCGCCACATGCTGTGGGTCACAGACCAACCCTGGCACAATGTGAGAGATGTTCCCCAGGGAGGCAGGGGTCCCAGGACCTTCGTGGAGTCTGGCTGCCACATCAGGTCACGCCAGCGTGGTGTCTGTTTGCTTTCAATTCCGCCTAGGAGAAATATCCTCCCTGGTCTGAACACCTCGTGTACCTTTCACAAGATGAAGAATACCCAGTGTCCCATTTTCCGACTAGGAGACATCTTCCAGGACGCGGGAGACAACTTCTCAGACGTGGCCATCAAGGTGGGTGGGGTCTCTGCACCGAGGGGTGCGCATCCAGGAGCGACCAGGAGGTCAGGCCACAGCGTCCTAAAAATGGCTCTCGTGCATTGGGTGTCTGATAAACCCCTGCACCAGGCCAAGGACCTTGCCTGTATGGCTGCGTCTCAACCCACAACCCTAGGAGTGAGCCGCCTGGGGTGTCCATTTCCTGTAGCCGTTGTGGAAAATGACCACAATTTGTGGCTTGAAACAACCAATTTTCGGTATTTCTGGAGGTCAGAGTCTGAAATTAGTGTCACTGAGCTGAGATGAAGGCGACTGTGGAGCCAGGCTCCCTCTGGAGGCTCTAGGGGAGAATACACGTCCTGCCTTCAGCTGTACCTCCCACCCTTTTTATTTTGAGAGAGGATCTTGCTAAATTGCCCAGGCTGGGCTCAAATTTGCCATCCTCCTGCCTCAGCCTCCTGAGTAGCTGGGATTACAGGCAGGTGCTATAGTGCCCAGCCCCTTGCATTTCTTGGTTCGTAGCCCTTCCTTCCATCTGTAAAGCTGGCATCGGGGCATCTTGCTTCAGAGGGCACAGTGCCTTATTCTGATCAGATTGCCCTCTGCCTTCTCTTAGGAGAGCACTTGTCTTTAGGACATGAGTGTTTATAAGAGCAGTGCTTAAGGCCCACCTGGATTACCCAGGATCAGCTCCCCATTTCAAGATCCTTCATGTGCTCACAGGGCCAGGAGCCTTCCTCATGGGAGTACTGAAGAGAAAACAGAGAGTTATGAAACCGACAAGTTTCACCTTCATCTCTCATGGGGGGCACTAAAAATTTCAAGGCAGAAATGCTTCAAATGCAGGAATGATTTGTTGGATGTTATATTCTAGAAATAACTCCAAGGAGCCAGGCATGGTGGCGCACACCTATAATCCCAACACTCGAGAGGCTGAGGCAGGAGATCACTGCGAGTTCCAGGCCAGCCTCTGCTGCATAGTGAGATCAAGGCCAGCCTGGACTACACAGAGAGACTCTGTCTCAAAACACAACAACAAAACCCTAAACGCGATGTGTCCTGGACAGCTGGCACAGTAACTCAACTCATATTTACGGCTCTGAAATCTTCCATCAGCCCTTTTTACCCTAAATGCAACCCTTCCCTTCCCTGAGTGTGTGACTGCAGCGCAGGTGACGGCTGGGGCTGCAGCACCAGGGCCCCGCGGGCTCACAGACCTTCTCTTGTGGCTCCCACACCCCAGGGAGGAATCATGGGCATCGAGATCTACTGGGACTGCAACCTGGACGGGTGGTCCCATCACTGCCGCCCCAAGTACAGCTTCCGTCGCCTTGATGACAAGACCGCCAACGAGTCCTTGTACCCGGGCTACAACTTCAGGTAACAGCTCTCTGGGTCAGACTCGCTGAGCAGCTGGCCCAGGTAGGGCTGGGGGGCCCAGGCCTGTCTGAACCGCACCCCCGGGTGTCACAAACATCCGTTTGGCTTCCTGAGGGAACGAAACAAACGGTCTTGGTAAGAGAGAAACAAAACTTGGAAAAGAGAAAAGCACAAGGGAGGAAAAAACTCGCTCACAATTCCTGAGCCTTGAGATTATGGCAAGCGGGGCCCCGCGTCCCTCGTCCTACACCAGTTCTCTCCCGAGGCTCACGTGAGACCCTGTCACACGCTCTGGTATTCTGTCTTTCTTTTTTTAATACCAAGGGCACTTGGGCCAGGGATTTAGCTCAGTGGTTTCGCCGTCTGCTACGCAAGTGCAAGGACCCGGGTTCGATCCCCGGTACCAAAAAAAAGAAAAAAAAAAGGGCACTTAACATACTCTGGGGCCATCACATTTGTGACCCTAGCATTCAGTACTGATGTACTAGTACTGATGATTACTGCAGTTTGGGGAGGGCCTTCTACATACCAGCTACGCAGCTACTCTAAATCTCCCTGCAACCCTGGACGGTAGCTATTAGTGCTCCTGGTTTAAGCTGGGAACAGTTCGATGATTTGCCCAAGACCCACAACTAAGAGTCCTAATTCCAACCCAGATCACCCTGACCCCAAAACATACTCTTCCCCTTTTATCTCAAGACTTTCTCACTTATTCCTCCTCCAAATTGAAAATTTGTATGCTGGGTGAGGTGGTGCATGCCTGTGATACTAGCACTCAGGAGGCTGAGACAGGAGGATCACTGTCTGGAGCCAGCCTGGACTACATAGCGAGACCCTGTCTCAACCTATGGTGATATCTTTATTTCTAAGATTTTGTATGTGGTTTTATTCAAAACCATGAACTTCATGGGCTGGGGATTTAGCTCAGTGGTTCTGCTGCCTGCCTTGCAAGCGCAAGGTCCTGAGTTCGATCCCCGACACCAAAAAAAAAAAAAAAAGAAAGAAAAAAAAAAGCCATGAAGTTCTGTGCATTCTGCTCTGGCTGTATGGAGCCTCCTCCTCTTGTCTGCTCCCTATAGAATTCCGTCCACACTGGCCCATTATCTGAAGTAGCCGCCGTGCAGTTTCCCACCGTGGGTACTGGACCATCTATTGGCGGTGCATCTGCAGCAGGATTGAGCTCAGGCAAAGCCCTGCCTGTGAAAGGGTGGAAGCATTTCCCTGGAGGGAGAATGTATCCTGTAGTCCTTCCTGCTGGGATTGCGTGGCACTTGCCCACTGTAAGCAGGTCTGTAGTTTAATTCCTGAGCTTGGGATTTGCTCACTCTGCTGAAGAACCCACTTCCTTCTCCCTTGCAGTGAGGGTTCCCAAGGCCCCAGTCCCTCCTGCTGCTCAGAGGTAGATGTGGCTCGGGGACTCCCTGAGGGTCTCAGGACTGCCGTCCCTACTCCCCATGTAGTACCCGAAAAAGTGTCCTTTCTTGCTTGGAGTTCAGTACCATGAGTGTGAGTGTGAGTGTGTGTGTGTGTGTGTTGCTGGGAACCAAATCCGGGGCCTCATACATACAAGGCAAGGGCTCTACCACTGAGATGCACCCCCCACTATTTGTCTTCGGCTTCTCCATGCCTGTAGCACGACAGGGCCCTCCGTACAGCTCCCCCTCAGCTCACTTCGGGGTCACAAGCTGAGACGTCCCAGGTGCAGACCACATGGAATCAGTGCAGCCTTCTGCATACCCTCACTTAGAAACAGCACAGGGTTGAGCAGTGAGTGTTCCCTCTCATGACCAGGCTGCTGACTGGCAGCTGCAGTGCGATGCCACTGCCCAGCACCAAAAGACAGCATCTTGCTAGCCCAGGAAAATATCATAATTCAAAATCAGAAGTGTGACCCAGGTGTGATGGTGCACACCTGTAAACTCAGCTACTTGAGAGGCTGAGGCAGGAGGATCAAAAGTTCCAAGATAGCCTGGGCAACTTAGTGAGACCTTGTTTTGAATTAAATAAAAAGGGCTGGGGATGTAGCTCACAGTTTCCTCCGTTCAATCCCCACTACTGGAAAAAAGAAAAGAAAAAAATCCAAGTGTGGTTTCTACTGAACATATTTGGCTCGAACACCATTGGATTTTTTACTTTTGGGGTTTTTTTCTTTTGTTTGTTGTGATTTTTTTGAGACAGGGTCTCACTAGGTAGTTTAGGCTGGCCTTGAACTCACTATGTGGATTCGGCTGGCCTTTAACTCACAATGATCCTCCTGCCTCAGCCTCCCAAGTGTGGGATTACAGGTATTCATCACCATATCCACCTAAAATGTTTAAGGACTGGCAATTCTGAATGTTGGCAAGGAGATGAACAACTGAAACTCTCCTGCATCCCTGGAGGATATGTAAAATGATACAGGCACATTAGGGAGCTGCTGAGAAGTTTCCTATAAAATCAAATACACATCTACCCCATAATCCAAAAACCCCACAATTCCGCCTTAGGTATTTACCCAAGAAAAATGAAAATACATGACCACACAAAGACTCCAGTGCCAATATTCATAGAAGTCTTATTCCGAACAGCTGAAGGGCTGGGGATTTAGCTCAGTGGTTTCACTGTCTGCTGCACAAGCTCAAGGACCCGAGTTCGATCCCGGGTACCAAAAAAAACCAAAAAACAAAACAGCTGAAAACCAGAAACAACCCAAATGTCCATCAACCGGTGAACAGAGAAAGTCTGGTACATTTACACAGGAAAAGACTCCTTGGTATAAATAAAAAGGAACAAACTATGGACACAGCCACGACATAGATGAGCCAGTCCCTGGGACATCAGGCAGCGGGAAGGATGAGTCCAGACTACTTGGAGTCGTTCAGATGAAGTTTGAGAACAGCCAGAGCTGGTCGTCTACAGTGAAGGAGGCAGAACAGAGGCAGCTGGGCTGGGTGGGTGGCAAGGAGCTAAGCAGAAAGGAGTGTGAAAGAGGGCTGTGGGGTGATGGGATGCTCTGAGCTCAGGAGATTTGGGTTATATGGGGGAGTTATTTGTCAAAACTCACTTAGAACTGGTACGCTTTAATACATGTAAATTATACTTCAATAGAACAAACAGACAGATTCAACTAGGCTATTTCCGATACGTGCTGTGAAGAAAATCCAGCAAGATGGCATGATAGGGAAGGCCTCTCCAGGCAGGGAGAAGGACCCCAACAGCATCACTCCCTCTCCTAAGGGTGGTGCTTTCCAAGTTAAGAACATAGCTGGGTGCAGTGGTACACTGTAATCCAAGCACTCAAGAGGCTGAGGCAGATGGATCTCTACATGTTCAAGGGAACTGGGGCTCCACAGCGAGTTCAAGGCCAGCCTGCACTACATAGTGAGACATGTCTCAAAAAGATGAAGGGGAAAAAAAAAAAGGAGAAGAAGAAAACCACAGACAGGAGCCCTGGGAAGCAATTTGGAAAGCATTTTAGTATTTATGGTCTAGACCGATGGTCCACATCACGTGGGGACCTAGGAATGCACATTCTGGGGCCCTTGGATGGACCGAGTTGGACAGTCTCAGGGTGGGGCCCAGGCATCTGTGTTTTCACAGCCTCCGGGGGACCTGCTGCTCACTCAGTGACAGCCACTGATCTGGACTCTTGAGCCTCATATCGTGGGTCTCGCCTGTGAGCTTGGCCTGATGCAGCACTGAAGGAAAATCTGCACTTAGCAAGGTCCCTGGGGAGTCAGAGCTCTGGTCAGGGCTGTATCGTCTGGTGGCCCAATGAGCTTCCTCCCGGCTGTTTCACCTGACTGCATGTTGTCCTACATTTAGGCTGCGAGCTTCCTAGCCCTCTTGCTGGCCTCGTCACTGACATTTTTTTTTTTTTTTGAGACAGGGTCTTGCTATACAATTAGACTGGCCTGGAACTCACGCTGATCCTCCTGCTTCAGCCTCCCAAATGCTAGGATTACAGGCACACACCACCATGCCCTGCTTCTCACTGACTTCTGGAGCAGTTGGCTGAAGTAGTCAGGTTTCTTTTACATTTTACTCAAAGCAGCATTAAAACAGCAAGCAACCCTTGAAACAGAGTTTTTAATTTTCACTGACTTGTTTAGGCCTGCACAATGCTTTAAATTTTGAGACATTTGCTGGGTGTGGTGATGCATGCTGGTAATCCCAGCACTGCAGAGGCTGAGGCAGGAGGATTGCCAAGAGTTCGAGGCCAGCCTGGGCTACATAATGAGTTCAAGGCCAGCCTGAATTACATAGTGAGACTCTGTCTTAAAAAGAAAAAAAGAAAAAAAAAACAAGCAAGCACAGTTAGGACAGATTGCTGAGGTACACCCATCCCCACCCCAACCCCATAACTGGTATCTAAAATTCATCCATCCTTCCCCTACTCCTTTACTTTGTTCTAGAGTCCAAACCTATTTATCCTTCTTAAATAATCACATTGCTTAAAGTTTTTTTTAAAAATCCCTTTGCTTATTATAAATCTCCATTGGTTAAACTTCTGTTCCTTTTCATCTTCACATGTTCACAGTGGGGCTGTAATCTGTATGTCTCACTGCTGGGTGGCTTGAAGAGCTGGCAGTACACGCGTGACTGACCATGCCTCCTGTACTGCCAGCTGTGCCAGCCACCCAATGGGACAGTCACATGTGTACCCTCAGTGGTTCAGGCCGGAGGGAAGATGTTAAACTGAAAGCCAGTCTCCCACCACTGTGATGACGGAAGTGGAGGAGGCGACACGGGGACGCTCTCTGGTCCTAGTGGGCAGAGAGTAATTGGGTTGTGTTTCACCCTCTGCCAATCACAGCTGACCTAGAAGGGAGACAAGGAGACAGGCTTGGCTACTGGCTTGGTTTTCCTTTCCATAAAGTGTCAGCACTTTCAAAGAGAGGGAGGTAAATATGGATCCTTTTCCTCCTGCAGATATGCCAAGTACTACAGGGAAAATAATGTTGAAAAACGAACTCTGATAAAAGTCTTCGGGATACGTTTTGACATCCTGGTTTTTGGCACGGTGAGTCTCACTTTCCAGCCCGGGCTCCTCTGCTCGATGGCTGGGCCCTGATTATTGTTGCAGGGACTCCAAGTGCGTCCTTTGGGTCACAGTTGTAGATGGTCATAGTCCCTGGGATCTTGTCCAGAAACGAGCCATCCGGAGAGGATGCAGATTGGGGAAAAATTCTAATATTCCAGCTTTTAAAATGTTCTAGAGGAGAGAGAGAGAGAGAGAGAGAGAGAGAGAGAGAGAGAGAGAGAGAGAGAGAGAGAGAGAGAGAGAGAGAGAGAGAGAGGGAAAAGAAAGGAAATCCCTCTTCAAAATAGCTTGTAGGTCACAGAATCCAACTCAAATTGACTTGGGAAAAACGTTTTTGTTGGGCCAGGGATTTAGCTCAGTGGTTCCGCTGCCTGCCTTGCAAGCACAAGGACCCGAGTTCAATCCCCAGTACCAAAAAAAAAAAAAGGTTTTGTTGTTGTTGTTGACATAATTGAAAAGTTCAGGGATAACTTCAGATTTCAGGCATGGCTGGATCCAGGCGTTTCCAGCCTCATCCAGGATCTGCCCCTCTGTCTCACATCTGTTCCCCTGCCTGGGCCCTGTTCTCAGGTGGCCACCTCGGCCTGGTGGGATCAGGCAGCCCCTGACACCTGACCACTTTAGCAGCCTCAGTGACAAGAGGATCCTGTGTGTCAGAAGTTTCAGCAGAGGCTCAGGCAGAACCCTCGGCTGTGGCAGCTCAGTGGTGCCAGGTGCCGCCTGGTGCATCAGTCACTGCGACCAGGTCACACCATAGGCCCCATGGCTGGTAGTGGGCCAGCCCGGACCCCTGAACCACAGAACTGTCCCCAGGAGGAGGAGGAAGGGCAGGGTGCCCACGGGACCCCGTTCAACAGCACAGGACTTAGGTAACATTGTTCCTGCAGCACACACACTAATGAGATGTAGCCAAGGGGCTTGAAAGCCACAGAGAGTCGAGGGATTCATGCAGGGCTCTCTCCCTTGGCTCCCAGCACCCTCACACCACTTCCGGGCAAGGCCGCCAGAAACCCTCACCTTGATGGAAAACAGCCATCCTTCAGTGGTTCCCCACTTAACGTGCTTCTTTGTTTAGAATGTCCAAGGGAGCTCGGTGCGCTGGTGCATGCCTATAATCTCAGCACTCAGGAGGCTGAGGCAGGAGGATTGCTGCAAGTTCAAGGACAGCCTGGGCTATAGAATGAGTTCAAGGCCAGCCTGAACTACATAGCAAGACACTGTCTCCAAAAAAAAAAAAATCTAAAGAAAGAAGGAAGGAAGGAAGGAAGGAAAGTAAGTTAGTTCATAGGCCCAGACACAGCCTGGATGGCAGAAACAGGACAAGAGGGTCACACCGAGAGTCCCATGGTCTCCGCAGTGGTGAGCACCAGGCTTGCTTCATGCCAGGACCGACAACCGGATGTTAGAACAAAAGAGCGGGGCTCTGAATTCAACTTGGTAACTTATCCTGCTCTGCTTCCAGGGAGGAAAATTTGACATTATCAATTTGATTGTGTACATTGGATCTACCCTTTCCTACTTCGGTTTGGTAAGAGATTCCCTTTCCCATGCTTTAAGAAAGTGATATGGAAAGCCAGGAATGGTGATCCACACCTGTGATCCCAGCACTCTGGGAGGCTGAGGCAGAAGGCCACTGAAAGCTCGAGGCTAGCCTAGGAACTTGGTAAGACCCTGTCTCAAAAAAAAAAAAAAAAGGACTGGGGGCATAGCTCAGAGGTAGAGTGCCCTAGGTTTAATCCCTAGTCCCACGAAAAAAAAACAAACCCAAAAGTATATATCTATATATATTCAAAAAGAACTTTCACTACCACTCGCTGGTCTGGGTTTCCCCAGGCCACCGTGTTCATCGACTTTCTCATCAACACCTACTCGAGCGCCCTCTGCCGGTCGCACGTCTACCCCCGCTGCACGTGCTGCGAGCCCTGTGCAGCCAATGAGTACTACTATCAGAAGAAGTGCGAGGCCGTTGTGGAGCCCAAGCGGGTAAGGCGCTGAGCCGGCCCTGGACACCCCCAGACCCGGTCAGACGGCAGAGGGATGTGTACAGATCGGGCCCAGGGCACGGGACGAGCTCCGGAGCACCCAGTTATTGATGAAGCCGGCACAGCCAGAAAGGAAAAACCAGTGTAATGACATTGGAGTGCTTCGCAGTGACTGAACTGGTCGTGCTGTTGTCTGATATTTCCACTCGGTCCTCCCCAGGAAGCCTCGGGCGAGTTCTCGAGCAGCACGGGTGTCCAGATGTTCACTGCAGTGTTGTTGGTTAGATTACTAATTCATAAATGATTACCAACAGGGAAAAACAGCATGCACCCAGATTTCCTCTCGGTGAATGTTGAAACTATGATAAACCCAGAGCAGGGAACACCAGGAACCCATCTCAAAGAATGAGGCAGATAGCAATAAAAACAAACATTTCTATAGCATTTCTGAGTGCTTTGTCTATATTAACTCATTTACTCTTCAAAACAGCCCTTCAGATAAGCGTGATGGCACATGCCTGTGATCCCAGCACTCGGGAGGCTGAGGCAGGAGGATCCTCACAAGTTCAAGAGACCCTGTCTCAAAATAGGCATTACTATTATCCTGTTTGTCTATAAGAAAATCAAGGCACAGGAAAGATATTTGCTCAAAGTCATACAGTAGTGAGTGGTAGAGCTGAAATCTCAATTCAGGCAGACTGGGCTCAGAATCCATGTTCACAGCTGCTAAGATATACGTGCTGGCATGGGCAGCTATCGAAGATATATTTTTGAGAGGGAAAAAAAGCAAATAGAAGAACAATTATGTATGGCATTTGTTCAAAAATAGACCCATAAACTAATACTATATATTCACTACATGTTATCACACATGGGGCCGGGAATTTAGCTCAGTGATTTCGCCGCCTGCTGCGCAAGCGCAAGGACCCGAGTTCGATCCCCAGTACAAAAAAAAAAAGTTTACTTACACACATGCGCGGGTGTGCATATGTATACACAAAAGTGGAGTCAGTGGTTGTAGTCACAGGGAACTTGAGCCTTATCTCTATGTTTCGATTTGATGAATTTGGCCTTTATCAAACAGGTCTGCTACACTCAACTCCACGCTGTCACCCAAGGAGAAATCTCTGGTCCCTAAAAACAGAGAGGGCGCCCTTGTCTTTCCTTCATGCAAGGACATTCCTGCCCTCCTCCAGTGGCTGAATGCACAAGTCATTGTGCACTGTCTGCATGTTCACAACTGAAGTAAAAGTTCACCTTTGCAACTAAAACTAATTATCGTTTTATGGCCCAAGGTGGGGTGAAATTCAGCCAACATATGACAGTTTAGCTGCAATACCATAGCTCTTTGGGATACTGAACCAGAAGTACCTGAAATAGAGAGAAAACACAAAGGAAAGTTTCCCAGAGCTCAGGGACCCACAGACTTGAGGCGGTGGCTGTGTCCCCTGAGGCGATAGCTCACGGTACTTGGGGTTCCCCTTCCGGTTTACTCTCAGACTCAGAAACCTCAGGATTTGGGGTAGTTTGTTCAACAGTGTGTCGCCCAGTAAATGGGAACAGCAGTTGTCATTGCTTAGATAGGCAATGCTTGTTAATTCTGTACAAAAACAGATGAGCTTTTTCATTTCCTTTCACCAGACATTAAAGTACGTGTCCTTTGTGGATGAACCTCACATTCGGATGGTGGACCAGCAGCTACTCGGGAAAAGCCTGCAAGATGTCAAGGGCCAAAAAATCCCAGTAAGTTAAAATATTTAGTCTTATTTATTTATTTATTTTGGTACCGGGGATCGAACTCAGGTCCTTGCGCTTGCGCAGCAGGCGGCAAAACCACTGAGCTAAATCCCCAGCCACCACTGATGAATTTTAATAAAGCAAACATACTCATGTAACTGGCACCCAGATTTAAAAATGGAATGTCCTGGGCTGAGGGGGGCTTGGTAGAGCTCTTGTCTGCTATCCACAAAGCCCTGGGATCAATGCCAGCTCTTCCGGAGAAAAAAAAAAAAGAGAGAGACTATTCCTAGCAGAAGTCCCTCTCATGTCCCAGTCTAGTTGCTACCCTTCTTTAAAAGTAGTCATCATGCTGTATCCAAGATTAGTTTTACTTTTTCTAGAATTTTATGAAAACTAAATATGCTTAAATTCTCAGTATATACTTATTGGAATAGCTGGCTCTTTTCACTCAGTATTGTTTTTGTGAGTTATCCATGACATCACGTATTACAAAAGTTCATTGTCACTATCTGTATTATTTCTAGCTTATTTATCCATTCTACTGTCAGTGAACGTTTGTGCAGTTTCTAGTTCGAGGCTAATACCAGTGATGCTGAGATGTAAACATCTGGCATCTGTTGGGTGATCAATCACCTCAGGGTGGAAGTGCTGAGTCCTGAAACGGGTATATGTTCCAACCAACAGTGCTCCAAGTGCTGGTCCTCATTCACACTCTCCCTAGCTGTGATAGCTTCCTTTTTGTGGCTGACTAATATTCCATGACGGGGATAGATCATACAGTGGACCCTTGACTTATAAATTCAGTTCATTCCTAAGGGCTGGTTATAACTCAGGTTGGTCAAGTGAAGGCTCAGGTTCCTCTACACAGCCTTCAAAGTCTCTCTCCTGTACACAGGGAGATCTCAGTGTCCTTAGAGAGACATTGGCCCAGGATTTCTCAGTGAATCCACACAGGAAAGGATGCTGTAATGCTTCTTCCAGAGCTCTGTAAGGGTTAAATCTGTATCTGAGACCATCTGGAATCACAAGTGGCCATAACTCAAGACTTTGATCATAAGTTAAAACTCAAATTCCAGTCATAACCCAAGTTGTTCGTATGTCGGGCTGATCGTAACTTAAGGGTCCACTATACTTTGTTTACTCATGCATCAGTTGATGAATATGTGGGTCTTTTCCACCTTTCATCTATTATCAATGGTGGGGTTGTGAACATTCATACGAAAGAACTCAATTTCTTTTTCTTTTTTTTGGTACCGGGCTTTGAACTCAGGACCTTGTGCTTTCAAGGCAGGTGCTGGAGCCACTGAGCTAAATCCCTGGCCCAAGAATTCAGTTTCTTTTCTTTCTTTTTGTTTTTTTTTGAGAAAGTAGTAAGGATTTTTATTGTCAAAACAAGAAAAAGAAGACACAAATAAATTAATTGTGACAATTTTAGACTCCAGGGCTTCTCTATGGAAGATCAGTTCCTTATGTAAACAAAATGCTACCTAAAACAAAAAACAGCACAGGTTGGGGATGTAACTCAGTGGCACCGTGCCTTCCTCACAAGTGCAAGGTCCTGAGTTCCATCCCCGGTACAGCAAAAAGAAAAAAGAAAAGCAGTATCTGAGACAGTAGAGCTCAGTTTCTAATGTACTCAACTCAGGTCTTATTTGTCTAGTGAATGAGGTATATATCACAAAGAACAGATGCGGCAATGAAATTATGGCCACCTCCCTTGGAATATAACAAACAGACACGGCAGCAGAGAACAAATATTTACTATCCGCTGTGTCCTGGCCACTGGCCTGGGCACTAGGGATCCAGCAGTAAACAAAGCAGATGGAGCCGGATGTGACCTCATTATACCTGGCTGGTGGTGCATACCTGTAATCCTAGCACTCGGGAGGCTGAGGCAGGAGGATTGCCTCCAGTTGGAGGCCAGCTTGGGCTGCATAATGAATTCAAAGCCATACTACATAACGAGACCCTGTCTAAAAAAAAAAAAGCAGAGCAGGCCCTGGCTTCCTCCAGAAGAAGAGTCGTCAGAGAGTGACCATACACAGATCTGGCAGGTCGTTCAGGGCGCTGAGCCCTCTAGAGAAGGGAGGGTGCCCTGGTGTGGAGGGAGCTGTGAGCGAGGGAGGAGGAGGCCGGGGCAGGAGGTGACGTCCGAATGCAAGCCTGGCTTTTCCAAATTTCATTTTCCAAATCTGTAAAATGGAGACAAGGACATCGGAGCCAAGGTTCTGCAAAGGCTTAAGGGGCTTAAATACAAGCCAATAGTTGCCGTCATCACTAGAACATTAAGTGCTGCTTTAAAAGCTAAGGAAATGAAAGCCCGGAACCCAGGGCTTGTCACTGCTGATGGCTTTGCATGTGTTTTCAGAGGCCCCCGATGGACTTCACACACCTGGCCAAGCTGCCCTGGCCTCTCCCGGATCCAGCCCCAGCCCCTGGACACCCAGAGGAGATGCAGCCGCTTCGGGGGGCGGGGACCCCTGGGTGTGGGGACAGCCCAGGCTGGTGCCACTGTGGAAACTGCCTCGCCTCCCGACTCCCCAAGCACCACAAGTGCCTGGAGGAGCTGTGCTGCCGGCGCGGGCCAGGGCCCTGCATCACCACCTCTGAGCTCTTCGGGAGCCTGGTGCTGTCCCGCCCTGCCCTGCAGCAGCTGCTGCTCTACCAGGAGCCCTTGCTAGCGCTGGACGAGGAGGCCACCAACAGCCGGCTGCGACACTGCGCCTACCGGTGCTATGCCGCCTGGCGCTTTGGCTCCCGGGACGCAGCCGACTTCGGCATCCTGCCCAGCTGCTGCCGCTGGCGGATCCGCAGGGAGTTCCCCAAGAGCCAGGGCCAGTACAGTGGCTTCCGGCGGCCCTACTAACTGTGTGGGACCGAGGCAGCCACCTGAGGGTCCCCACTGCGCGCATCTGAGCTTCACTGCTCAGACAGGGACCACGCCCAGCCCAAGGGCAATTCGCCATCCTCTCCTACAGCTTGGCAGTGTCCGGGCCAGAGTGACTCATGGCAGCCACCACCAGCCCACCTGGCAGACCCTCTGCAGGGATGGGGCCAAGGGATGCAGATTTCAGTCTCAGTCCTGTCCCTAGGAGGCCCTGCGACCCTCGGTCGTCATTGTCTACACCTCTGTCTCCTCACTGCCCGTGCCCCGGCCCAGAGCCTTCATGAGGACCGATGACAGGGTCTGGATCTTGTCAGTGCCAGAGCTTCGAGATCCGGCGTCTCACCTCGAGCTCGGGGAGGAGAGGACGTCCGTCCTGGAACAGGGACTGCCTAGAGGTGTGGACGGCCACAGGTGGCCATGGACCTGACACTTGTCCCTCAGGACCCGAGTATGGGCCACTCTGGTGGCTTTATCCAGTAGTGGAAGTGACACAGTGTCGCCTCAGGTCTCGGACTCGAGAGGCTGGAACTCCCCCTTCCTGCCCCTTGGCGCTCTTGCTGAGGGGAAGCAGGGCCTGGTAAGAGTCACCATCATCCTGAGGTGGATGCTGCCAGCCTGGCTCTTATGCCGCCCAGGCCTGTCACCACCCCTGGGCCACTTTGGGTGGTGCCCCGAGTGACAACTGCCCGGTCAACCTGGACAGCAGGGTAGCTGTCTCGGGTCGCTGGGTTCTGGGGCAGACAACAAGCTCACCCATGGGGACTCAGAGAGGGACCTAGAGACCCCTCAGGAGCTTAGCTCTCCACTAGACAGCTCTGAGGGGCTGCAGACCCAGTCAGGTGACCCACAAAGGAGCCCCGGAAGCCAGCAAGCCTGACTTCGGCTCACTCAGTACCTTCCCACCCTCCATGCGGGCCCAGGGCCCCTCTGTGCCTTTACCTCGATTTGGCCTGCGGCCCGGTCCCAGTGGTCCCACCTGAAGCTGAGTATAGAACAACCGCACCCCAGCCTCCCTGTCCCTGTGCGCCAGGCGCTAGGAACATGGACTCGACGGGGCCTGGGTGTGGGCCCTAACTCAGAATTTCTCTTCATGCCTTTGTCACTAGAGTTGGCTCTTTCTAAACAACAGTCATTTGGGGGGCCAGGGATTTAGCTCAGTGGTTCTGCCCCCTGCCTCGCAAGTGCAAGGTCCTGAGTTCAATCCCCGGTACCAAATAAAAAACCAACCATTTCAAAGAATAAACAGAGACAACAATGAATAATACTGCATACTGTGACTGACGATGTGGGAGTTGTAAAATATTTCCTCCAAGACTTATTTGCTACAGTACTAGGGTTGAACTCAGGGGCTGCTACAGGCTGGCTGAGCACCCTACCACTGAGCTACATCCTTATTTTTTACATCGAGACAGGGTTTCACTAAGTTCCCTAGGCTGGCCTTAAACCTCATAATCTTTCTGCTTCAGCCTACTGAGTAGCAGGATTATAAGCATGCACCCTGGTGCTTAGTTTGATAACTTTACCACTTTAATAATTGTTGCAAACAAGCAGCTTTCTACTGTATTAATGTAAAATAATTTTGGGTTTTTTTGGGGTTTTTGTTTTTTTGGTACGGGAGATCGAACTCGGGACCTTGCACTTTTGAGGCAGGCGCTGGAACCACTGAACTAAATCCCCAGCTCTTGTAAAATAATTTTTAAAGCATGAATAAAACCCTTTTGTTTCTTTCTTTCTTTTCTTTTTTTTTTTTTTGAGACAGGGATGTAGCCCAGGCTGGCCTTGAACTCATGGCCATCCTCCTGCCTCAGCCTCCCGAGTGCTGAGATTACAGGCATGCGCCACTGCACCCAGCAAACCCTTCTCTTTTAGACCTAGGGTTTTATCTGGCTTTACACTCAGGAATCAGGTTAACTGTGCCAGTCTGAATTTTCATTTTTTACTACTTTTTCAGAGATATTTTCCCCAAAGTGGACGATGTATGACTTCTTCAGTATTGTAATTTTTTACCCTGAGGATTCTGTGTAACAGCTACAGGTCTGGGTTCTGATGGTCTCTGAGCCCCTGGACCCTTATTTTTGGTACCTTACTGCCTGTGTGTTCCTGTCGCCTTGTCAAGCCCCCAGGCGGAGTCAGAACTGGGAAGAGCAAGTCATCACTGGCTCCTCCGCCGCTTCCCTACCCACGAGGCCCTGGGCAGAGGTGACGCCCGCCCTTCCTTCAGTAACAGGGATCTATCTGTGTTCTTGCTTTCATCTTGTGGGATCTGCTTTCTCGAGTCCTCCTGTTATGGTAGCCGCAGAATTCCCCGTCCCCACTATGTCAAAAGGGAAGCCGCTTTCCTGCTGGCCACCAGCTGATGTCATGGAGAACCCGTCATGGACTTTTGTTTCTCTCTCTAAATGGAACTGTCTTTTAAATCCTTCCTGACTCTATGTTAGCAGTGTAGGTATTCTTAACATGACTGTTTTGGCAATTTTAAAAAATGGTGTATAATTTAAGTCTTCTCTTTAATTCCTTTTTTTTCAGAAGGTCCCCAAATCACAGTTCATTTATTCAACAAATACAGAGACAACCACTGGAGACTAATGACAGATAGGGCAGCAGGAAATACATGAAGATGGACAGTAATCAAATGATTCAAGCAGATGTAAGCCTGCAACATGTGATGAGCAGCATGATGAAGGAGGGAGATGGGGCTCCAGCAGCCCATAATCGGAGAATCTGACCCATTCGGGGAGACCAGAGAAATCCTTCAGAGAAAGAAACAATTTAGCTAAAACCTCAAGAGAAAGAACTAGTTAACCAGGTGAACATGGGAGGGAAGAGCATTCTAGGTAAAGCAAATGACACGTGCAAAGGTCCTGGGGCAGAAAAAGCATAGCAGGTTTGAAGAATGTAAAGAAGACCCGTTCGACTATGCCATAAGTAGTTTGCAAGGGACCAAACTGCACAGAGCCTTGCAGGCCACAGGGGAGTCTGACCAGTGGACAGCCACGGAGTTTAGACAGGCGCCTGGCAAGATCTAGCTTCTCAAAAGCTCATTCTGATCACTGTGTGAAAAGTAAATTAATAGCAGTAGACATCGCTTTCATTTCCATTTCACTAATCCATGAAGCATTTGCCCCCAATACACAGCCACATAAACTGATTCTCCTTTCTCTCCTCCTCTTCCTCTTAGGAAGTCACAAAAAGCCCAGCAGTGAGTTAAAAGGAGGAAAAGCTCTGGCTTTCCAAGGGCCCTGATTTGGGGCATTGCCAATCCAGAGTTGCTGTGAGTCAGCAGAGCCCCCGGGGTACCCTAAACCCGGGGCTGCGCCTGGGGGCTGAGCCTGGGGGCCCCGTGGGGAAACTCTCCTGCTCGAGCAGGCGCAACTCAGTTCCTCCCTGACCCTGACCAACCTCCATCCGCTCGCCCTCGTGACGCCAGAGTTGGCCACTCCGAATGCACTCGCGTGTGGCCCTGCCTGGTCTGCTGCGACTTCCTCCCCAGCTGGGGACGCACTTGACAGATTCCTGGGTGTTGCGTGTTTAGCCATCTCTGTAACCCCAGGGCTGGAATCTCCTTAGCTGGTGAGCGGAGAAGTGATTAAAACACCCTTAACTGGGCTGGGGATTTAGCTCAGTGGTTTCGCCGCCTGCTGCGCAAGCAGTGACCTGAGTTCAATCCCCGGTACCAAAAAATAAAAAAATAAAAAATAAAACACCCCTAATTAAGGACAACTATAGCCCTCAAAAATTAGAGGCTCATAGCCGGGTATGGTGGCAACTACACAGGAGGCTGAGGCAGGACAATCACCTGAGCCCAGGAGTTTGAGACCAGCTTGAGGTACAGAGCGAGATGCGGTCCAGAAAGAAAAGAGTGAAGGAGGGAAAGAGGGAGAGAAGGGGGAAGGGAAGAGAGAAAGGAAGGACATTAATTAATTAATAATTAATTAGAGGCTTGGCTTGACTCCTGCCCACAGTCATTGTCTGCACAAAGCTCTAGGAGAAGCGGGAAGCGACCTGGATGTTTCTCAGCCAGCATCCACTTGCGGCCGTCATCACCCTGGGGACCCCGAGCGTCCCCCGATTGGACACCTTCTCTTCTGAACAGATTAGAGCCGCTCTCTCCTTGTACTTTTACTGTGATCTCCCCGATTCCTGTCTTCCATTCCCCAGGGGTTATGGGCCATGTTTCCTAAATCAGTGACCATCTATGGGGAGCTTTTGTTCTTCCGACACCCTGGGCCCTTCTGAATGAATTCTCCAGGTCACGTGTGCCCGAGTCTTCCGGACCGGGGAGGAGGAGGCTGCGGCCAAGCTGACGCATAGTTTTAGCCAAGTAATCGCCACAGTGAGAGGCCGGGTAAGGGCAGCTCCCGCAGGGCCCCGAGCGAGACTGAGGAGCATGGTGCGGTGCCAGGGTCTAGGTTTTATTTCCTCTAACAAAGCTTTGTAATGAGAAGGACTCATCTTGGTTTGTTGTCCCTTACGTGCTTTCATCAGCATAGAAATGCAGTGGACACGGCACAGACCTCCCAGTTAAGCCCTGCCTGGGCTACTTGTCAGCACAGGGCCCAGCCAGCTTACCCTGTGTCCACGGATGCTAGCTACTCTCCCGATAGGGACCGTGCCACGACTCCCTGCTGTGCTCCACGCAGACGGAGTTGACCCCCTCCGGAGAGGTTTCTGACAATTCAGAGGCCACTCAAACAGGTGCAGGAAGCCAAGTACACGTCTGTAAACCCAGCACTTGGGAGGCTGAGGCAGGAGGATCCCGTGAGTTCAAGGCCAGCCTGAACTACTGTGTCTCCAACAAAGCAAAAACAGAAAGAGAAGCAGTTCCAAGAGAGATGGCACTATCTCTGCTCCTCCACCCCACCCCACATGCTCTTCCTGAACCTCGGAGCAGAAGTTCACAGCACCACCTTCCCCCAGATTAATTTGCCAAGCCAGAAATGCAAAGGACACGCCTCCTCCCCCATCCCGACCGCCGTCTCCACCGTCTCTACCGTTCAGTCTGCAGACTGCACTGAGCAGGCGCCGGGAATGAGCCGTGTGAGGAAAACGGGCTGAGTGTGGCTCGAGACAAAGGGTTTCAGTGAGACAGGCTGTGTGACAGAAGCCTCGGAGAGTGTAGGGAAACGAATGAAGGACACAGAAGGAGAAGCCCTGGGGAAGGGACATCGGTTAGAATTCTTCTGGGGTCAAAGGGGAGGACAGGTGATGGAAAGAAAGGGAAGATTCTCTGAAAAATAATTTGGAAAAATTCCTTTAAGTCCAGCAGCAGGATCCTGGTTAAATAAATTATGTCACTCTACAGAAGAGTGTGAAGCTATTTAAAATGATGCCGCAGAAGGACAGTTAGCGACATGCACAGATTCAGGGCAGAACACAACACACTGGCATTTCTTGCTCAAGGAGAATATGAGCCTTTAATTAGAGCTTGCTTTTCCTGGCAAAGACAGTATGTATTAAAAACCTTTTACCCCAAACACACGTTTAAGGAGACAAAGAACTACCTGCTTCCAGGCCAGGGATTTAGCTCAGTGGCGCCACCTGCTTTGCAAGCGCAAAGTTCCTGAGTTCGATCCCCAGTCCCCCCTCAAAAAAAGAACTGCGTGCTTCCTCACAGGAACACATCCTGGACAACCACAAAGTCAATCATTCAGAGATGTCAAAACTGGGCGTGGTGGCCCCCACCTGTGATCCCATCACTGGGGAGGCTGAGGCAGGAGGATTGCCATGAGTGCAAGGCCAGCCTGAACTACATACTGAAACTCTGTCTCAAAATAAATAATATATCAGAAAAGTTTAGTGACGTTTCTTGAAATCCAGAAATCAAACTTGAAAGTTTTTTTCTTCAGTTTTTCCCTATTATGATTTGTTTTGGGTAATTCAGATCTGACACATGACTGTCGTCATACCGCTCTTCCTTTTCTTAGTTATGACAAATAGATTTTGACTATAAACTCTAATGCTTGGGTTTGGCATTCCTCAAAAGGTAAAAGGATAAAATTATCATATGAGTCATCAATTCCACACCCTAAAGAACGGAAGGCAGACTGTTAACTAGATGGTTGTACAGGAATGTTCATAGCAACATTATTGACAATAACCAAAAGGTGGGGAGAAATCTAACCATCCATCACTGATGAATGCATAAAAAACTGTGGTCTATCCAAACAATGGAATATTATTTAGCCATAAAAAGGAATGTGGTTCTGCTACAAAACAGATGAACCTTGAAAACTTGTGGATGCTGAGTGAAATAAGCAAGACACATAATATACAAATATTGTATTATTTCACTTATATGAATGACGTAGAATAGGCAAATTCATAGAAGCAGAAAGTAGAAGAGCAGTGCCCAAAGGTGGGAGGGAAGGTGGCTGGGACTTATTACTCATTGGGCATAGAGGTCTGTTTAGAGTGATTAAAGTTCCAGAAATGGAGGGTGGTGATGGTTGCAGGATACCTTGAATTTACTTAATGCTGCCATGTTGTTAAAAGGGGTTAAAACTGTAAATTTTGTGTCATGTATATTTACGATACTTTTTAATTTTTGTACTGGCAATTAAACCCAGGGCATTTGCACTGAGATGAACCTTCAGCCCTCTGAGACAGGGACTTGTTAAATTGCCCAGGCTGGGCTCAAATTCACAATCCTCCTGCCTCAGCCTCCCAGAGTGCTGGGATTACAGGAGTTTACCACCATACCAGCTTACCACAATGTCTCAGATTTGCAAAAGAGCCCACTAATGCTTTGGCAACTCTGAGGCTTCTAGATTTTTTGGAAATTTCTTTATGTGATTAGAAAAAGGTCCTTTTTTTTTTTTTAGCAGAGTTCTGTACTTTGCTCTGAGTCTCCACTGTAGGCTCGGTCACCTGCTGATCATGTCTTTGTGCCCTCCTAATGCACAGAAGCAAATCTTGTTAGGAAAATATATCCAGTGTGGCCAGGAACCCAGGAAAATGAGAGGGCAGAACATTTTACAAGAGAAAGAGCAGGGAGACAGGATAGAAGACGTAGAAGACAGGATGTCTCAGGGTGAGATTCAGCCTGACCTCGCCTGAGGCTGCGATTTCTACGGTCCTGAGAGGAGCACATCTGCCCTCCGCTTCAGTACCCCCTGAAGGGCGCTCCACAGGTGACCATGAGGGGACCCCTGAGGCCGAGCCAGGCCCGCAGCAGGCAGGGGTCAGATGTGCCCCGCATCCCGAGTGTGAGGACAACCTGGTACAGCACCTGGAAGCAGCTTCTGCTGGCTCAGGGTCATCTGCACTCGCTCCTGGGTCCCTGCGACGGCTCAGCAGCCCAGCCTCCAGGACAACAGGGTGGCCGTGGGTAATTATTGTGAGTATCTAAGTGTCACAGAGGCCCATCAATACTGAGATGGTCATCCCGGAAATGAAGGTGGCCCCTAGGGAAGTAAGGAGGCTGAGGGTGCTGCCGCCCGGAAGCAGATCCACGACTCTGGAAGCAGAAAGGGGTAAAACAGTAAGCGGCGCACAGGGGAGGGGTGCTTCAGGAATCCACCTCCTTAACCCAGATCTACAAAAATCTCATGTACAAGATAAGGACAGGGGATGGGCGTGAGTGGGTTTTGCTTTACAAAGGGATTTGTGACAAGGTAAGATTCCTTTTAATTATAAAAAATGAGACTCCTTTTTAGGAGCTTCTCTACCAAAGAGAGAGGCATGGACAGAGCCGGCTGTGACCTCCCAACTCATCTCAGGTGTTTCATTTGCAAAAGGAAAGGACTGGGCTGAATATGGTCTCTCAGGCGCTCAGTCTCAAAAAGCTCTCCCCAGTGTGTAAAGTGAGATTGGTCTGTTCTCCACACTAACTTATGCAGAGTGCTCAGTGTGCTACCGGGTAAGTGGCCAATGAATAGATTGTGTTAACAAAGTCTGCACTGTGGGCTCCCAGGCACCACTGAATGGGGCCCTGACTTCACTCAGAACGTTGGCTCACACCACGCCCCTGTCACCCACCAAGCTCCATCCTTTCTCATGCAGAACACATCAAGCTCATTCCTACCTCAGGGCCTTTGCACTTGCTGTTCTCCCTGCCTGGAATACTTTCCTCCTAAAGTTTCAAAAAAAAGTCTCCTTAGTGACATTCAGGTTCCAGCTCAACTTCATTTCTTTTGAGAGTGCTGCTGCCTAGCTACTAAGATATACAGAGAATTCAAAACCCAGCCAAGAATCCATTCTCTTTTATGTTCCACATGCAACATCTATAAAAACATGTATTTTCCTCCATACATCCTAATGTTCAATATAATACAGAATAAGTTCTTCAGCCACATTTCAAAGAAATCAAAAATTCATTCTTGGGCTGGGGATTTAACTCAGTGGTTTTGCCACCTGCTGCACAAGCACAAGGACCCAAGTTTGATCCCCGGTT